TTAGTTTTATAAAACATAAAATAAATGTAATATTCAATCTAGTATCTTCTTACTTATTATACTAGATAGGTTTTTATAAATTATAAAATATTCATATTGATTAATATCAATAATTACAATTGCATTCCATTTTTGATAATCCTATATACGATATTCCAAACCTATCGTGCACCTCCAACCTTTTTTTATTTATAAAAAAGTTAATGAACTATAAAGCTACTTCTTCAAATTTCGATTTAGATGCATTAATATTAAATAAAAAACCATCTGCTTATCAATTAACAAAAATAAATATAGTTTTTGTTTGAACAATAATTATATGAGACTATATTGCATAGTATTCCTTGAATTAAATAAAAATAAAAATATTTTAAAATATGGTCCTTGAGTATACTTAAACATTCCAAGAATTTTAATAAATTTGTTATTAAAAAAAAAAAAAAAAAAAATAGGTAAGGTAAGTAATAAATATACTTGGTAAATCGTTCTGTTTGGCTAAGTGTGAACAAAGTAATAGATACCATACACGAATTATAATTTGTAATAATCAATTATTTGGAATCAAATTAGTATAATTGTATACATAAATCAATAAATGTATAGATTAAAATAAAATAAATAAAATGTAAGATAAAATATAAATAAGTAATTAAATAATGATGTATTGATATGATATGAATAATATTATGTTGCTAATGCAAATATTTTATAATATTTCTAAAAAGAAACTTAATAGTTTTTAAACATAATATTAAGTCATTGAACATTTATTTTAGTTAAATATTTATTTTAACTCGATTAGGATAGTTTAATCTATAGGTAGGTATAAAGTATTTATTTTTTTGTATTAAAATTAATTTATAGAAATCAAGAATACCTACCCTTAACCGCTGATAATATGGGTAGGCATCTATAATATTTAATATGTTTATAGGACATAGATATATAATGCATCCCAATTTTAAGAACAATGATATTAGTGAACATTTATAATTGTACAGTTAATATTAGTTCATAAAGATGGAAAATATACGTATTTAATATAATATAGATGATTACTGCATGAATAAATTTTAAACTTTATAATAAACTTACATGAATAGCAAATTTAATTAATTTTTATGGAATACAAATTAAATTGATATTATTGATTATTGTACCTTTATTATGTCTTACTCTTATAATAATGTTATTATTGCTACAGTCTACTTATTATTTGATATAGATAATTATGATTAAAATTAAAATCTCCTATCTCTATTTTGATCGTAAGTTAAAATGTATTGTGTATGTATAAGCAGTACTCGTACATAGACTCGGACTGGGAGGATACCAGCCTACTATTTTCAGTAAGCAGGCGGCCTAAAAGCTCATAGATACAATATAAAAAAAGATCTTTATTTTTGCTCTTTAACTGTTAAAGTTTTTTATTACAAAATTGAGGCATACGGTACTCTATGCTGTAGGATAGTAGCACAGTAACCCTGTCCGGGCCTGCATCGTACATAATATATAATATAGATCTTTATGGCTATATTATTGAATTGTTAAGTATGAGTAACAACTACCACGAATTTGTGACGTCAATCTACTAAAGGTACTTTACATCAAACACATATATTATTGTGTATGTTCACGTTTGAGCGAGATTAAATTCCAATAAGTGTTTACGGGTAAATATAGGTTAAACTTATCCGTATTGACTGTGTTAGTATTTTTTATGGTACTTATATACGATTAAAAAAAAATAATTTGGTGTGCAGTTAACTAAAAACGTTTATAAACATCGTAATATTTACAATGTTTAATAAAATTGATAAACCATAATATTTTATAATGTGTCAAAATAACGTACATTTTTAAAGAAAACTTTTTTTCATAATATATGTACTCTACATATATTATAATATAATATAGGCTGGACAAAATTCAATGAAAAAATTGCCAGCACTGAAGCCATTTTTTCAGTAATACACTGAACTTGTGGTTAGTTATGGATCATATGATGAGAAACTTCATCTCCTATATTGCTTCATAATCCAATAATTATATAGATTATAGATATTTAATAATGGATTAGAATTTGAAATCTGAATTTCAAAACTGCAGGAGGGACGTCCACAGAGACACCTTTTATGTATATTATTTACATACAGGTTTTATTTAAATGTATTTACTGAGAAAATTCCATTTACACATTATAAGTAACAGCAGTAAAATAAGTAGGTACATTACCCAATGTGAAGGTACTTATACAAAAATATGATTTTTTTACCAAGTACTAAAATTGGAGGTACCTACTAAAATTATATTTTAAATAAGTTAATTAGTAGTAAATTACATATTCTTATTAATCCTATTATGGAATATTTTATTTTTTCGTTGAAACTTTTTTAATAATATAAGTAATTACATATAAAGGCGAATAGAGAAAATATGCATACTTAGGTATTGTAGTTGCAGTTTTGCTGGATAGATTCATTAAGTTATACTTTACATTATATTTGTTTATTATAATTTAGGGAATACGCGATACCGGAAACGCCTACATTTTTATACAGGATTCAGCGTTATGGTGTATATATGTGTGTGTATATATTTAGAATGGTTCGTCAGAATAAATCAATTTGTAGTCTGTAACCTGTACTTTGTAGGTAATAATAAAATATTACAAGTACATTATTTTCACCAAAATATATCATCTATTATTGGTTTCGCGATTTTTTCTTGTAATGTTTGTTTTAGTGTTTGCAACGTAGCTCAGTAGCTAATAGTACATTTAGATTTAATATTATGTAAGTAACTATACTACCTACTCACATGCACGTCTTTTCAATGGACTCTACAACAATAATTAACAAACCCATGCGTTGAATTAAGGTTACATATTGTTATAAATTTTGTTATTTTTATATATGAATGGCTATAAAATTGTATGTCCTATATATTTATATACTTTAAAAATATCTTATTGTTTTATTTATCTTAAAAAATAAAAGTTTTAAATATATAAAAAATAATTTTAGCGTTCCATAATAAAGCCATATATATATATATAGGTGATATCTGTGAATTATGTTTCAATCTGATCAGTGAAGGACATTTTTAGGCATTTTTCTTTTAATGTTGCTTTCTATAAATGATAATTCAATACTTTAGCTCAAGCGCACTTATAACTTATAAGCATAACTTAATATAATAGAGATTTATATTATATTATGATGAGTTATTGTCATAACTCTTAAATTTAAAACCAATGACATAATATAATAAAATTGTGGTATTTGTAATTGTTAGTATTTTTAATAAAAATACATAATATATGGTATATAATGCGTTTATGAGTATGTATAAATAATTTCTTTATTTTGTTTTTAATCGTGAAATTCATAAATTATTAGTTTTAAACTATTAATAACTCAACCAATTGTGTATATAATTTGTTTTAGACATTGTGGCCGTTGTACCAATATTCTACATTATTAACTAGGTACTTGTTTTTTATTTGTTAGCCATGTTTAACTACATATTTTACACATTATACCTATACGTATTTATACGTGCAAATGTACAACGAAGTATATGAAACGTACTGCAAGTTGCAACACCCATTCACCATTGTATATTATTATTATTTTATTTTATTTATTGCTAAAGTATTTCAATCTCCGCAGTCCGCATACACCCTGTTAAAAGTTGCAGTAATCAGAATCATATATAAATATGAAATAAGTAGGTACATTTGTGATAGTGTAATTATATTATTATTATAATTTAATTTTTTGCCATAGACTGGTGAAAAAGGGTTTATCATAGTATCAGGGATCGGGTTCATTATTTTTGATAATTAACATTTTAATATGGCTTAACATAATAATAAAATAGCGTTAATATAATTAACATTTTAATATTGACATATTATTTAACTAGGAGTATTCATAAACCCAGAGGTAATAATTTAAGGTCGAGTAAATTTTTCGGCAATTACGAGGGATCCCGAAACCTTTTTTCCCTTTTACCTACCTATGAATATGTTACTGAATTTTTTATTCTAATTATTGTTGATAAGGTATATTATTTTAAACATTTTTCTTTTCTATAGGTACTTATTAATTCAAAGTTTTAGTATTTGTTTACGTAGTTGTCGAAAATTTTCATAATGCTTACATAAATTTATAGTTTTCGATTAGAAAGTAAACAGAATTTTGCAAGGTGCAAATGTATGTTACTACAATAATTATCTGTAGCAGTCACACGACAGGTACAAAAAAAATGTAATTTATATTATAACCACAGAATATGAATAATTTAATAATAATAAATACCTATTGACAATAGGCTATTGTATAATATTAAGTAGGCATCTACTCGATTGCATATCGAAGAAAAGAAAAACTCGTCTTTATTATTTTAAACATTATTGTATTCGATTAAGTAGTAATAATTTACGGGCACATACATAATATATACATAAATATATTACATATTAATACGTTATACTTATACATATACATAAGTATACGTACGACCTTTGAGTTTGCGATCACGTGCATAAAAGGTTTTATCGGACAGACAATTTAACGTATGAATATAACATATCGATATAATTATCTCTGATATAAAAAAAAAATAACACGACCAGTCTAATATTATTTTTGTGCATAGCCCGTGATAATATCACATAATAAAGCTATACCTAGCAGGTATTTGTATAATTTTAAATTTTATTACTATGACACATTCGAACAGGCGTTGGGAGCGCGCCAGCCGGCGGTTGGTCGCGTGCATACAACTACGACCATGTTCGTCGCTCTTCGTCGTTGTCTGTCGGTCGGTCAAATAGGAAAAGAGAAAAAATGAAAAAAATCGTTAAAATGCATTTGTAGTCGTGTGTAGTCGTCGTACATTCGCTAGAGAGACGCGCGCGCGCGTTAGATACATTATATCGAGTTATTTTTCCATGAGCGTCACGTTGGCGGCCTGACGGGTGCGGCCATATTTCCAGAGAGACCATTCGCAAGTCGGCGACGGGAAACGACGTAACGTCCGCTCTCAAACCGCATCCACCGCCGCCGTCGCCTCAACCTAACTGCGCGATCCACAAATACGTTGCCGCCGTATCTTCGGGATTTTTAATAAATTTTATTATTAAAAATTCGCAACCATAATATTTTACCTATTTTACCAGTTACATATAAAATTTTATAATTGTTATTAATTCGTTCACGAGTGTTCAACGCAGCGGCAGTGATATCGCACACGCGTTATTGTCGTTCGCCGTCGTCGTCCCGCCAACGGTCTCTCGCGCATCGGCCGCTGTCGAAACTCGAATCGTATCAGACTTCCGGTGCGTGTTCACACGAGTGTTGTTGTCCGACGATAAACCGTCTTCGTTCGCTCGTCGCCGCACTAGCAGCTGCAGAACTAACGAATAGATAACCTTCATCATGTCCGAAAGAGAAGAAAATGTATACAAGGCGAAACTCGCCGAACAGGCAGAAAGATACGATGGTGAGTGCACACGGACGCGTTTAAACGCATGACGTCATTACATGTTAATATTTTATTAAATTTTGGTACTGTTGAGATAATCGATTTCTCGTCGACGTTTGCGAGTTTTTCTGTCGAAATTTCGCTGTTTTTAGCCTCCCCCCACCGCCAAAGGCCGGCCGCCCCGCGTTACTCGTTTGTTACGACCGCCCGACGCCGCCGCCGCCTTCTACGCCTTGCGCCCAAATAATCAATACGTAAATAATCGGGCGGACTATATAATATAATATAAAATATTTATTATTACTATTATTAATTATCTACTATTATTATATTTTTATTTTCTAGGTTAGTAGCATCGCGCACCTATAACGGTACGTGCGTGTGTGGGCACAGTAGCAAAATATTTTATTATTATTAAAATAATACGCGGTGGCGGTTTGTACCGTTAGTCGTACGAGATTTCTATCGCATGCAAAAATCATACTTCTATTAGTCATCACCGTCACTCAAATGTGATTACGATATCATATCGCTTGCGCGTCGCTGTGACGCCGGTCTCGGCTGTCCGTTAATCTTCCCACACGGTGGAATTTCACCCGTTGTATTATATCGCTCGTCTGCCCCGACCGCCGCGGCCGGACGCCTTCGCTATCCGTCTCCCTTCAACCCCGCCACCATCATCACCCCATCATTGAGATACGTAGACTTACGACCGGTAGTAGTGGTGGTTTTCAAGGGTTTCCAGTATTTTCCACACATGCACTCGAGTTTACGATTTTTTTTTTCCATTTTATACGGTTTCTCCTAATTGTAAATATCGGGTTTTGAGCTAACAGTATGTATCTGCTCGTCCCAAATAATAATGTTACTTTGTGTCTGTCATTGTTGCCTTGTTTACAATTACATACTTTCACTGTACGATATTCAGACGCATACAATTTTAGCTCTTCTCATCAAATTTATGGAACAATTATGATTTTCTTTAAATAGGCAGGTGTCAATCTAATAAAACTGTCTTAAAGGTTTTTTTTATTGTAAAAAAAAAATATTTCCCCTAAATATCCAAAAATAAATAAAAACATTGACTCGTTTTCCTTGTATTTATCTATTCAGTACTTTAAAAAAAAATTGGGTTTTTTTATTTTATATTAAAACATTTTGAAGTAAAAAATTAAAAAAAATTTTTTGGCTAGATAGGTAGTACTTATTGGAAATATGTGAACATATTTATAAAGAATTAAATTGACTTATCTAGTATTAATCATAAAATATCTGTGTTTAATTAATATAAATATATTTATTTTTAAAATTTTCATCAAGCCAGTTTTTTATCAAATGTTTTTTAGTTTGATGCAATAGAATGAATTAATCATATTTCCTCTCTACATATTTGCTCAATTTAAAAGTTAAAATTGGTTACTACTTACTAATTATTACTAGGAAGTAAATGATACCTATTTTTTTTACATTTTTTATATGTTTAAATATTATTGTTGTAATATTTGGTTAAGATATCTAACTAATAGTTAGGTAAAGTTAGTATTAGGAAATTATTAGTTAATTTATGTTTAAAGATATTAATTGTCTATAATATTTACTTAATTAAAAACAAATTTATTGTTGTGATAGACTTTTTACCATTTAAAATTGGCAAACTTAGTATTAAACAGAATATTTTAAAACCTTCTGAGTATCCATGTAGTACTAGGTATGTGTTAATGTACTTACTTGTACAAGCTAAAATATTTTAATGTTAATCAACTTATTAATGTTTTTTTTTTTATGAAATGTTTTGCTTCAAAATATTCATAATAATATAGATGTCATGAGTTAATATTTTTCTTATGTCTAACTACCTACATAATATTATGGTTTAAAATTAAATAGCTATAGAGAAATATAATTATTAAAAAAAAAATGATTATTATTATATAAAGAATTATTATATTTAAAAAATATATTGATTAATTTAAATAACTAATTTTAACTTTTTCAAGCTGGTGTTCATAAAAAAAAAAGTTACTGTGTGTATTATATATTTTATATTTAATATATATATTATGTACCTAGTATGAGTAACAGTACCTAATATAATTTTAAAAGTACCTATCTAAAAAAAATTTTTAAATAGGTAATCTATTATTATTAAATATTTTTTTTCAGTCTTAGTTCTTAAAAGGGTGTACCTACCTATAACTGAATAATGAAATGTACATATAAAATTGGTACTTTTGTATTTACTTTTTCCGTTATTAGTATTATTGTATTCAATTAGGTAGATAATACCTTCAATTTTAATTTACATCAGTAAATAGCATTTAGTTATTAATATTAATATTTCTTTTCCTTATACTTAAAACTCCTTTAAATTATATTTGTGAGGTGGTGTACTTATAATAGTAGCATATTGTCAATAGCTACTATTATTACAAAACTCTTATTAATAACCTTTCTAGTAAACTTTGTTAATAAGTATGAGTCATACCTGAAAAAATTATATTTTAAATGCATCACTTAAACAATATTTTACTGTGTTTTAAATAATAGGTACCTATTAATTGCACTGTTACGTTATACTACCTATTATACTTTAGGTAAAATTTTTCTTTTTGTCTTTCAACAAATCTTTTCTAAGTATAGTATACCTTATTACCATGTTTATGGTTTTTAAAACATAAAACATAAAAATCATTGTGCTGTTTTTTGTATTAGCGTTTCAATATAATATAAGTATCTACTATATTTAGTTAATTCCTTACTTACTATTTTCTTACTACTTTTTCTTCTAAATTCTTAATGAGTTATGAATAAATATTGAAATAAAATGAATAGTGAAATTATAATTACCTACATCTTTATTAAAAATTAAAATATTAAAAAGTTGCATGTTTGAAACAAATAAACAAGTTTTTTATGTTTACTCATAGTATTCAATTTTGTTATTTTTAAAATTATGTGTTTTAATTATTTTAAAATGCCTACTTATATAAATATTGTTTTATATTATTAATTGTTTTACTACTACCTAATTTAATGAATAAAAAAACTAGAACATTCCATTAATTAATGATGTTAAAATATGACAATATTATTAAAAAAAAAAAAAAAAGTCTAATTAGGTATATTCTGAAGTATATTTTTTACATTGTGTTAGTGGATTTATACATAAATTTAATTTGCAACAGTGACTTAATTTTTGTTTTATACAATTTGAATATTTTATTTAACTTTAGGGTATGAAAAATTATAGGATGATAGGTAAATAGAAACTCAAGTGGATAGTTAATGTAAAATAGTTTTTCATGTTTTAAAACTTGCTTCTGTTTAAGGCAAATTTTCTATCTACAACAATTTTTATTTATAACAATTTAATTTTTAAAAATGTTTCGATATGTTTATTTAACCTACTCTTATTTTCTATCCCAATTATTATTTAAGTAGTATAATTTAAATTATTGATTTAATTTTTAAGTCTTAAGTTATTATTTAGGCATATAATTAATTTAAATAGGTAACTTAAAATTTAACAGATGATAATTAATAATATAAAATAGGTTGGCATATTCTGATACCTAAATATATTTCTTAATAATTAAAAGTTGTCTCTTTTTTTTACATATAATATTAAAAAGTCTGTAAATAATAATATTTTAAACATTACTTATCCTTTCAATCTCATTCTATTTGAAGTGAACCTAGTCATTTTGTTTTATAATTTCATGAATTATTAATGATTATTGAAATTAGAATATTTTTCATTATATAAAAAAAATAACAAGGTTTATATATATATATATATATATATATATATATATAAATAATGATTTATTTGTAGGTTTTCTATACTTTCTAATTTTTTATATTTTTCAAATTATGTACACAATACTGTTAATTCTCTTAAATTAAAAATATTTTCAATAGATAAATCATAGTTTATCAATGTGTTAGTATTACATACATATTTATTATCTTGAAGTGAATTCAGTATTTATATATTTGCCCTTATTGAAATCTCATTTTGTATTATTTACTATTATATTTGAATACTTATTAATCAATATCAGCCTTATACTATATACCTATTATACAACAACAAATTATTAACCTTAATTTTTTTCAATATTAACCTATCATCACATTTTACAAAATTGTAATGGATTCTCCCTACCTCCAGGTAACAGATAAATATTTCCTCTTTGTTGGCCAAATATATTTTAATTTACAAGCTAGTGATGAAAATCTATGTCATATATAATTATAATTTTACATAAAAGTATTAGTAGGTACACCAAAATATGAGTTAACCATTTTTGATCTTGACAAATATTTCTTTGTGATGTTTGATTTTCGCAAGTTTTTAATGGCGGTCGATCAGTAAATTAATGTATTCGTACTCTATTTAAATAAATACTATCATCTTTTTAAGATTAATTTCTCTATTACTAAGCCAATGTATTTAATTTAGCTGTTGCGGGCGTGGTAGATGGTAATGATAGGGTAGGGTGCGGCAGGGTTCATACCAGTCTACAGCGTATAACGTTGCCATAACGACGGCGGTCTCCCCTTCATGTCAACTTTACTAACGTTCCAATGTTTCATACCCAGACGTCGTCGTGTACACCTCATGTACATCCTGATGGTCTATTGATCTGCAAGTTAAACTTTTAGCCCAGACATTGTTGTTGATAAAAAAAGTTGTAACCACCTATAAAATCACATGTGTTACGTATTATATGATATATATTTAACAAATCGAGTGTTGTGTCGTCGTTAATCGCCACGATGGTGGGCGTGTGTGACTGAATATTAAGGGTTGAAACACGATAAACCATGCCCATGTTTCGTTTAGACTGATTTCTATTATCTGACCGTTCTTATTGTACATTTTTCTATCTCGTTTGTACGAATGTGTATGTCAATCTTGATATAAACAAACTTCATTGGCATTTTTAACACCATAAACTTTTAAATTTGGTAAAAAAAAAAAAGTAAAAACTAATTATCAATTCCATATCTACGTGTTTTTCACGTATGTCTTTATAATACTCTGTAAATAACGATTATTATGCAATGCGTATGTGTTGCGTATATATGTGTATCGAAGTGTTTAAATATTTTACTAAACCTCGCAACATATATCCATAAAGTAGTTATTTTGATTTTATTTTCGTGTCGGAAAATGTGAACAATATGTTACAATAAATAGTGTACCGAATTTACGAATACCTTTTAGGCCTATATCATGAATAAGATCGTAAGATCCTTGTTGATTGTGACAAAATGGGTTACATTTTTTAAGATGTTTGAAAATTTGACATTACTTAGCTTTAATGAGGTCTTGTTAGATTTCAATGGCGATACGAGTTAAGCTTTGGTTTAGACGTTGTCTTTGTTCATCCGTTGCTAACACTTCAAAACGATTTGGTGACAGCATTTTTTTTCTTATCCTCATGATCCGGAGAGTTTGTGGAAGTAGATGAAAAAGAGATCTTTTTGTTTGATTTTTCATCGTTTTCTTTTTAATAACCGAGTTTTTGTTGTAAATAATAATTAGTGAAACAGTATTAGCCATTAGGCGTTTTTAGTGCCTCATTAAAATAGATAATTGATAAGATACAACACGCCACGTATTACCTATTACCTTGGCTGTCTGAGCTCAATTCCACATATTTACCTCTATACTCAGTTTTCGAAAGTCCTCAAATTTCTTTGTTTTGTCATCGTCCAAGTTTATTAATCATACTTGAGAATCTATCTTAGTAGCCATTAGCCACATACAATCTTCTTTCATTTTTTTTAGATTTCATCGGTTGTTAAAAATGTTGTCAACGTGTATAACACTATTTTTTTCTTAATTTATTCGAATTTTAATTTCCTTTGACCTATCTAATTAATATGTTGTTTCCTAATATTTAAAATTGTTAATTTTTTCGTAGTTTAAGTGCTTTATTTTGAGGTCCTTTTCATCTCTCAAGACCTATTTTTTTCATCGCTTTTTTTAACACTGTCCGAGTTAGTTGTGTTTACGAACGATTCGCCTACTATCATGTAAATCGTTTTATAAATCCAGAACAAGATTGAAAAGTACCGTGGATATCTTGTCCCACTGTTTTAACCCATTTTTTACTATAAAAGTTAATGATTTGTCATTTTGCATTCTCACTTTATATTTCGTGTTTTCCATTTATATTTTAGTCGCTATTCTTTTTTTTTAAGAACCAAACTCTTACATGATAATTCAAGAACTCCGGGTACTATCATAGGACTTTTGATTCTATGAATAGCTGTTACGTATTAAATTAATCATATAATAATTTCGATAATACTTTTAGAAAAAATCAACGACCATTCATTTATTTTTATTCATATTAAATAATAAAACCTTCGTGTTTCAAGTTTTATCTTAATTTTTAAGTGTTTTATATAACATCCTTAATATAACATTCATACTACAAATAATACATTATTATGAATAATTATTATATTATCTACATTAAGAATAATACTTATTAATCTACCGGAATATCTACCTTTAAGAAGACGCCGCACACCCATGTGTTGTTACATACAACATGGCAAATTTTCGTTCAGCAAAATCCATTTTATGTTGTTAGCTTTTATATTAGAGTAAATTTAACTGTCACCAAACTTTAAGGTAAGAATTTTATCTGGGCAATGACATAGGGTTTTATTAATATTAAAATATCATTAAAAGCCTATGTCATTGCCTAGATAAAATTATTACTTTTAAGTTGTTTTGATAATAGGTAAATTTACTTAAATGATTTTTTTTTTCATCTTTTGATTTTGAATCAAATATTGAGTATTTTAAAGTGAATAAAAAGTTACAGTTTTAAAATAACAATAAATTGTTTTTGAAATTAAAATATTAAAAAAAAAAACATTATAGATGAATCTCTGGATAATAATTTATTCTTACCATTAAATTTGATGAATACAAAATGTTCTTAAACGAATAGCTATATTAAAATAGTTTCAAAATGAACACCATGTCAAAGTTATATTCCCTTCAAATTTAAATGCTAATACAACAAACTTAATAAACCTGTTTAAAATTTTCCTTTGGAATTTTATTTATATTGTTTATCAATATTGTTACTAATTAATAATTATTTTTTTTTAATTTTTAGAAATGGTAGAATCAATGAAAAAAGTAGCATCGTTAGATGTTGAATTATCCGTAGAAGAACGAAACCTGTTATCTGTAGCATATAAAAATGTAATTGGAGCTCGACGTGCAAGTTGGCGTATTATTTCAAGTATTGAACAGAAAGAAGAGAACAAAGGTGCTGAAGAAAAGTTAGAGATGATCCGTCAATATAGATCGCAAGTATGTATTATTTAAACTACAAATTAAATATTTATTTGAATTATATATTTTTGCATAAGGTAATGACTAATGAATATTTATCAATTATTTAAAATCTATTAATAAATATAATTTAAATTATTTTACAGGTTGAGAAAGAATTACGGGATATTTGTTCAGACATTTTAAATGTACTTGATAAACATTTAATAGCATGTGCTGCTTCGGGCGAATCTAAAGTTTTCTATTATAAGATGTAAGTTAACTAAATGATTTATCAGTTATCTATTTTTGGCCCATGTTAAAATTATATAGTTGAAGAACTACGCTTTATTATAGTTATTAATGTTTCATAAATAATTTTATAGGAAAGGTGACTACCATAGATACCTGGCCGAATTCGCTACTGGAGATGATAGAAAAGAAGCTGCTGAACATTCTCTGGTTGCCTATAAAGCCGCTAGCGATATTGCTAATCAAGACTTACCTCCTACTCACCCAATAAGGTATTATCATATGTTCATATTATTAATATTAATAATAGCACTTTTAAATAATGTAAAAAAAAAAATTGTATTTCTATAGGTTGGGTTTGGCATTGAATTTTTCTGTATTCTATTATGAGATTCTCAACACCCCTGATAGAGCTTGTCATTTAGCTAAAAAAGCGTTTGATGAAGCAATTGCCGAATTGGACACGTTATCCGAAGAGAGCTATAAAGATTCTACACTTATAATGCAGTTGTTAAGGGACAACCTAACCTTGTGGACTTCAGATATGCAAGGAGATGGTATGAATGAATACAAAATTAAAAACATATTTTGTTCTATTTTATTAAATTGAAAATTAATTAATTTTAGGTACAGAAGCTGAACCTAAAGAGCAGCTACAAGATGTTGAAGACCAAGATGTCTCGTAAATTCCTTCTGTGACTGCTCTATAATAAAATAACTATAATTGTCATCGAAAAAAAAACAGTGTCTGTGTACAAATAATATCAAATATGAAAACATAAAAAATATGCATTCAATAGTTACAGCCCTAAGTAAAGTAAAGCGACTCACTCCAAGACTGTCAAATTTTTTTTTTCGTACACTTTGATTTTACTTTTATCTCATTGGCAGGGGAACATACGACAGCAATTTTGATTTTATCTTATACAATTTCCAAAAAATAATAATTCAATAAAAAAAAAAATATGTCTTTCTGTTCAGTATTATGTGTTAAAAGTTTTATTTTTGTATTTAAATTATAAGGCTTTTTATTATTTTTTTAATTATTTTTTTGTTTTTTTTTTTTTTTTAGAAAAACGATTAAGCAAATCGTAGCTTACCTCAATTCTTTGTGTTGATTACGTAAGAGAGTAATATTTTCTTTCTATTTTATACTAAAGAATATATATTTATACAAAATCATCACTCAAAAATCTTATTTAGAATTCAGAATTAGTTGGTACATTGGGTGTGCCGCCGCCAAAGTCAGTTCCTGTAATTTAATTAGTGTTTTTTGTTATTCGTTTATTACATTTATTTACTTTATTATTAGTCAATACAAAACTTAAGATAACCAATTAATATTTATTACTTTTTGGTTATTATTGCATTTTTAATTTTCAATGATAATAAAATAAAATTTAAGAAAAAAAAAACATTTACATATAATATTTATGAAAATTGTACAAAGAAAAATGGAATCAAAGTGTACCTGTAGTATTCTTATTTATTATGAATTTTTATTTTATACACTTATTCACTTTTATTTTTGCCAAATTTTCTCCTTAACATACTAAATTAAAATTACCATACACATTTATATATATAAATATGTATGCTTTTATGTCAATTAGTTTTTACTTTTATAACAAGTATTTGACTTAGAGCATGAAGTATTTCGGGATCATTTTATAATGCTAATTTCATCATAAATTCTAAAGTCTAACCCCTGCCTCTTATGATACCCTTGTTTAATCAACTAATTCCATAACAGAATAATAGTCTCTTCAAACATAATTTCAGCAATAATTAATTGTAATAATATTAATGATAGTTAATGATTTTTTTAACACCTATAACGCAAAGAAAACAAGTGCAACATTTTGAATGTTTTCGTCATTCCGTTTTCTTAGATTAAAAATAAAAAATAAAAAAAAATAATAAAATGTAGGTTATGTGTTTATTATAGAATTATTATAGGGTTTATTATATTATAATATATCATAATTAACTTTATGACATTTTTGTTAAACGAAGAAAAAAAAATCGTAATGCTTTTTCATCGAGTTTTTTCCAAAAAGTTTGATTTTTTTGGTTCATATATTATAGATATTGTAACTAATAAAATTTAAAAAAAAACCAATGTCAATAGTATACTGTGCGAATAATAACATTTAAAAGATAATAACAATATATTATATCTAATTGTTATGCTCTACTCTGTTTATTTATCGCACGGGTCTTTATTGATAGCATTTCGAGTTTTTTTTTTTTTTTTTGTGATATTTTTTTTTCTTGCGCTGTAATCATTTAACTACATGTACTGACAATACTTGTGTGTATTTTTTTTTATCGTGTGTCTATCACAACGAATACGGACCAAAATGTTTACAGTTTTAAACTTTTGAAAAAAAAAAATGAAAAATTTACGTAGTTCTTAGCCACCTATCAATTATTTAGTCTTATTTATTGTGTAGATTTTTTTTCTACTTCTCAGTATACGTGATTATTGAAAAATAATAAATATTTGAAGAAACTTATTTGACAGTGTTATAGGAGCGCGTTTCCTTTGCCAGCTAACCGGAATTTAAATTTAAATTTTAACTTTTAATTATATGTATTCAACACTTGAACAACAATACGACTATAGTTTAACTAGTTTGTGTGTGTGTGTGTGTGTGTGTGTGTGTATGCGTTTGTGTAATCTCGCTCGTATGTATGTTGGACAGGGAATCTCTGTACGCTATATACTCCAACGTCCCACCACCCCCTTCTGCATACGACGATGATGACCCGCCTAACGTAACTTTTAGTAGACATGTCAGTAACTTTTTTTACGTACAATTTTAAGATGTATATTATTATTTATTTGTCTCTTTAAACGATAATAATATTAATATAATTAATAACATTAAAACTATTATAATATATGCGCCATTGCATTAAATTTTTACATCTTTCAAATTTTTGTTATTTTTATTGTTTATTTTTCACGGGAATTAGTAGCCGTGGGTAAATAGCTGCCAATCATTCATAGACGGAAAACACATCCACAAAATCTAATTATAATCTGTTTACAGATGTTTGTGACCGTTTGGGCAAAGAAATACATTTATTACTTATTCTTTTGTTAAAAAAGATAAAAAGTGGTTATGTGTTGATAAATACGTATTATTACGAGGTACAACATCCTGTACTGTTGGGTATTGTAAGTGCCTAATATGAAAAATATTTTGTTGTATGTGATTTGAACACGTTGTCGCATAGTTTTACCTAATATATTTTATATTATAAATACAGTATATTTATGCGTTCTCAGATGATCATTGAAACGATGACGCACATATTTGGCGAGTGACTTCGATTGTGAACAATACAATACTGATAACTCATATCTTTTATAAATAATCAAGCATCAGGCAATGTTATAAATTGTGATTGGTGTATCGCGAGAGTAGAAGGTCTACCATGTGTAAATTAAAGATGAGCTTGAGTTTATTCCTTAAAAACATCAAATATTTTTTCAATCTTGGACATCGTTTTTGGTTCTCCTATGTCTCAAAATTATTAATAGTTCGTGTTCGTGTATTATAAATTGCAAGATCCTTAGTATTTTTATTACTACTCATTTGGAAAGAGACGACTTAATAATTAAATAACGAAGGTTGCTCCAGGATAGAGCGAATAAACCTAATTACGCGTTTTGACATTTCGTCTTGACGTTATATTTCCAACTTCAAAACATGATTCAAGGTACATGTACGTATACTTAGAAATAATTATAGACATGCCTTTGTAAATAAATGATAATTATACATATTATAATTATTTAATATATTATTAATATAATTAATGATATAATACATATAGAACTTGCCTCTTGGGTACTCGCTAAAGTTAATAAGATTCGGAAGCTACATCTTCAGTAAAACGTAATTTAGTCGATGGTTGGATTTATTATTTCTCAAAGCTTAGTCATTAGATGTACATTTCCGGACAAAGGCCTATGGGCATTTGTATACAGATAACATTAAAATGACCTATCGTTCATCTGTTCGTTCTGAATATATATTTTATTAAATTCGTAAGTTTATGTCATCATAGGGTTTATTAGAACTAGAGAAAATTTAATTTTAACTACAAATGACTGCTTTTAAAAGTGCTCATTTCTTATTCGTTTTAACTCGTAGCGCGTAACATGGTAATTGTAAAAGAATATATGAATGCGTGTGTGTAATTTTCCACTTCCGCCTACCTACACGTTTTTTAAGTACCTACGCACATTATAAATATAAAATGACGTCTGCTATGTGTCTATACATAATACGACAATACAAATATAAAATAACACAGTTGCGTTTTGAAATTTTATTTTATGATTATGTTGTAGTGCATATCGTACGTCTTGTAATTGCCCGATATGTACTTATTATATTTTTGCAGAATTTATATATATATACATCAATAACAATAAATTATGGCAGCAGAGGAAGTAGTGTTATTCAAACGGAGCCTCTTCTGCTATATTGGTTAAACTAAAAAAAGAAATAATAATTTAATGATTGAAATGTGTTTTATTTATTGAGCCTTGATCTTATGTTATGTCAAGAGGTAGACAATATTTGAAAGAAAATGGAGAAGACGCTTTCATGCTTAAAAATAAAATTTGGATTTTTGAACTGGCGATTTTTGTTAATGTATTGAAGTATATTATAACTTAATACAATCTAAAAGGTAGAAATCAACTTATCTTAATATGTGGTCTCATTTTAAGTTTTTGAGTAAAGTTGAAACTTTTACGGTCTCATCATTAAAAATATGAATTGGCAATTGACATATATTCGTACTTGTAAAAATCTTTTTAAATTGTCAAAATATTCATTTTTATCAGCTAAATTTATTAAATTTATTTCGACACTTGAATACAAATTTAATAACCGCTTGAAAGAATTCGCTATTCATTGCTTCACATTTTAATTATAATGCACAATAAACAAACAAATGTTAACACAACTTAATTAGGTAATAAATAATTCTTAATGATGTAATTATTTTTATGTATTTAAACATCATTAATGTATTTTTTAATTTTTAAAAACGTCATGTCTTAGACGTTTTAATATCACCAAATTAATCTATTTATCTCGCTATCAATTACCTACTGGCTACTACCTATGTTGTAGCGCGCGCGGCTCGTAGTGATTTACCGTCTCCTAATTATATATATATTTATGTTTTATTATCAATATAACACGCATCAATAAAATATTTATTGTATATGTTTACCTGTTGCAAAACGATAAGAAACCCAATTGTTATTATTTTCATTTTCCTTCGATGATATAACTGTTAAATTTGACATGTTTTCCTTCACTTTATCTGTACACCTGTCCAGCAATATTATGACGACTTCTTGTGCCACAAACCACAAAGTTTCGCCTTACCTAAGACTGAATGCCTATAATAATAATTGTGTTACGATTTATAGAGCGCAGCGCCGCGGCTACAGTGTCATAAACGTACTACGTAGGCAACTGCTTCGAAGCATTCTTCACTGGCCGACAGATCGTTCGAATAATGGTAATGATCGACAACCACCATCACAAGACTATTGTCAAGCGTTTAAAGACTTAACTTGTACGCTGAACGTTAGAAATAAATATTTAAAACGTTATCTCATTGTGATTATATTATGTTCAACATGCAATACGAAAAAAAAACCTAAGTATTCAATATTTATTTATGGACGTTTCTGTTGATTTCTCGCACCCCATTATATTATATCACATGACTATTATTATACCTTATTAGTATACTATTACGATATAACATTGTCTACTCAATGTAATTGTTTTCATTAACTATTGCTCACAACCGCATATTTTTACCCTTTCTACTCTTGTGGTACATTCTTTCATTCTTTTACATTTTATATTATTATTTGTGTTGCGTGTTTGCGGCAATATTCTACTGATCGTGTTATGTAAAACGCCATCTATTAGAT